AGACAGGAAGTTCCATCGCTACACCAAGCAAGCTCCTCATTTTCAGAACAAATATTAAGTGAATTTTACTCAATATTGTTCGTACGCAGATCTGCCTCGTACAGGCATAGAAGCTCGACCCCATGCTCTTTCTTCTCACTGGACCTATTTCATGAGTCACTACCAATTATACATATATTGTAAGAATGGTGTGTGTTACTTTCAATTTCCTTTCCGACACACTGGTACTCGCTGAGTCACCTCAGAAGAATGATGAGGAGGTAACAACGGGCTTGAATTCACGGTCAGTTGACCGACCCCGAAAGAGAGGTTGCTTCAGTAGTCATACGGTGTAGCACTCGAATACCACTGTATGTACATGCGATGCCACAGATAGCCATTAACATAATTTATAAGTCTGAATGCGGCTTAAATGGGAAAATCCACCGTGACGTTAGTTTAAAATGGTTCCACCACTCACGTCTTGCTAAGTTTCCGATGACATTGATGGCAATTGGATCAAACCATATGATATGCATGGTACACACGAGTGACTATCTCAACGAAGACCAAGGCAGGTATAATCCGTTTTTGGTAAATAAAACATTTTTAATTATCGTAAGGATAACATGCCCATAATCACGGAGGGAGAACCAACTAGTTTGCGTATCGAAACTTACCGATATCGTATAAGTTGCTTCTTAATTAATTCTTGTTCGAAAGTGCCAGGGATCACCTTCTTTTGCTTCCTTTATTTAATATTGGCGGAAGGTTATTTCTGTTGTCAACGTTTGGCAAAAATTTCGCACAGAACGCGTTTTACCTTTCGCCCCTGCCAAATGGAGTTGTAGGCGAGAGTCAATGAAGCATTCATCAGAGAGCAGTTGTTTCTTCTCTAGCGAATTCTCTCCCGCATAGCTGAAAGGTGACTCATCTCGTTGTCATATGACGAAAATACTGTGCATACAATCCCAGAGAAAAGAATTTCCAGCCCCCTCCTCGGCGTTATATTTGTTTCCGAAGAAACCATGAAGAGTGCATCACACAACATCGACTCATCTGTCGCCGACAACGCTGCCTATGCTAAAATGGAATGATGACATCAGTACACAGTTGCACACATAAATGTGCAACATACATCGGTAATCTTGCACACATTAAGCATGGATATATCCAGCGTATTGTTCCATTCAAGAAGTCAGGTGTAGTTTGCCTGAGAGAATTATACCTATCGTGGCTCGATTGAGATCATACGACACGGGATTAACCAAAGCGACTTAGACGAATGGTTAGAAAGGCCAGTTCCAACGAATGATATTTAAGATCTAAAGCTGATGGTTTGAAAGGCACTGCTGATATAATGCAATACAGTATATGCAGCACTCAAATTCCCCCATACCAGATTTGATACATTATTGCATCCCTCCCTTACCCTCGAGATGCCAACCGGAAAAGACCATTTAAGCAGGCCTCAGATGTGCGGACTTTGAACAGTTGCAGTACTAGATGGATCATACGTCACTTTTACTGGTAGCACAATCTCTTGCTCACCAAGAGTGATTTGACTATACTACGACATATATCCTATATCTGAGTAACTATGCAGGCGCACATAAAGAGTACTGGCTTTTATAACATTGTCGATGGCAAGCAAGATTATGCACGATGCGTCTTTTGCTGTAGATGCTCAGAGTTATGGCCTATAAGCTGTTTCTACGCTCGAGTAACGAATCACTCCTCCATGACCGGTTTTCCAGATTTCACGGCATATTGCACCGCCCTCTTGCTCGTAGGAATTAGGCTTCAGTGAACTCATGAGCTCATAAACATACTAGCCTATACTTTCAACACGTGAATGATAAATATGATGCTAGAGACCCGTTACGGTTTCCTAAGGAATAAATTTAGATTGTT